GCCGCGTACCGCGTAAAACAGTGTTCTATGGGTGTTCCTCATTGCAGATCCGGAGCTACCCAGGTGTTCGTCCCATCTAATAGGCATCGGTCCCTTCCTGGCGGAGCATCATCTACCGGATTGCGGAGCGACACCCCGAGTATTTCGTTACCCAGCGGAGCTCCATCGCCCATTCTTCCTATTGCAACCTGTACCAATGTTTCACATAAGGGGAAACAATGACTCGGACAGGGGTTAACAGCACAGTAGACGGAACCTTAACGATGGTAACTCTCCTGAAAGGTCGGTTGGTGGGGTGAATCCGACGAGCTTCAATATCCGTAATCCAACAATATGAATTCACATATAACCAGAGCAGATCTACCGTCAGCCGGTGGGAGGTATCATTTCAACCTTACAACTTCTTGCATTCTGACACTCGTGGTGCTAGCACTACTTACATTCTTTTCTTCAGGTCTTATCGCAGACCGTTCCATTCATTGTCCAAGCTTTGCTTGATCTTCATTCACTATTTTCAGCATTTGACACCCCACAACAATGTGGCAAGGATCCCATCTGGCTTGGCTTCTTGCCGCCGCAAACATCGTTGTCCCTGGTGTCCAGGCGGTTGACACTCTTGTCGATGTCGGATATGCCAAGTTTCAGGGTTCCGTCACGAATGCCGATCTGGGTGTGACAACCTGGAAGGGCATCCAGTTCGGCGCTCCTCCGGTCGGCGACCTGCGCTTCGCCGCCCCGGCCGATCCGGTCCAGACCGGCACCGTTAATGCCACGGCCCACGGCCCCATCTGCCCGCCTCAGCAACCCACTGACTGGACTGTCACGGGAACCTATGAGCGCTTCACGGTTGATGAAGACTGCCTCTACCTGGCCGTCACTGCCCCTTCCGGTGCCAGTGTCGACTCCAAGTTGCCCGTAGTCTTCTTCATCCAGGGCGGTGGCTTCGGTTCCAACTCTAACGCCAACTGGGACGCCAGCGAGATTGCTTCTGACGGCAACGTCATCGTTGTTCAAACCAACTACCGCGTTGGTATGTATGGTTTCCTTCAAAGCGAGAAGGTTCGCTCTGGCGGTGGTCTGAACGCCGGCGTCAAGGACATGATCAAGGCTCTCGAGTGGGTTCAGACCAACATCGACAAGTTCGGCGGAAACCCCGAGCAGGTTGTCCTCGATGGAGTCAGTGCTGGTGGCTCTGCCGTCGGCCTTCTCATGGCTGCCGACACTGGCGGCAAGAAGCTCTTCGCCGGCGGAATTGCCGAGTCCGGTGGCTGGGTCACGATGAGAACCATGGAGCAGGGCCAGGGCCAGTACGACTGCCTCGTCAAGGAGAAGAACTGCACCGAAGCGACCGACTCGTTGTCCTGCCTGCGTGCTCTCAACCAATCTGAGGTCCGTTCATCCAGCTGCTGGTTCAATCCCGGAATCGATGGTGAGCTCTTCTCCGACAGCATGGTCAACCTCTTCGAGGCCGGCAAGTACACCAAGGTCCCCACGATCTGGGGTTCTTGCGCCAACGAGGGAACCATGTACTCCGCGCCGCAGTCCACCAACTCCACTGAGGAGGCAAACACATGGCTCCTCGGCCAGGACCCTTCCCTCTCCAACAGCTCCCTGGCCATCTTGGATGACCTCTACATCGACGTTGCCCAGCCTGTCTTCCCCGAGTCCGGAGTCAAGTGGCGCCAGGCCGCCAACGCCATCGGCGACGTCGGTACGCACTGCATCGTCCGCAACATCCAGAACTACCTGGCCCGCGACGAGGTGACGACCTATAACTACAGATACGGCGTTCTCGACCCCAAGAACGAGGCCGAAGGCTTTGGTGCGTACCACACCGTCAACACGTACGCTTTCTGGGGTCCCAACCGCACCGACGGATCTGCGCCCGACTCGTACTTCAACATCAACGCGCCCATCATCTCGCAGTTCCGCAAGTACTGGGTCTCCTTCATCAAGAACCTGGACCCCAACACCGACCGCGAGAAGGGCGCTGCTGAGTGGAGGCCGTTCACTGGTCCCGAGGGCCGCGAGAGGTTGTTTGTGCAGACTAACAACACGCACATGGAGAGAATGAGCTCTGCTCAGGCTCTGAGGTGCGATGTTGTCAGGCCCTTCTCCAACAACTTGGGCAAGCCTGTGGACACTGGCGTTGTCACTGAGTTGGACGCTACTTTGGCAGCTGGCATCAACAGCACAACCGAGTCTACCGCTTTTGGCAAGAAGAGACACGTCAGGCAGTTCTCTCGCTACTACTGATTCACAGTACTGTAATCAGCTTGGTTGCCTAAAATTCATTTGCACATATGTACTTATTATAACATGGTCTGGGCTTTAGGCCGATCCGTACATGAAATGGCATTCTGTCAACGTTCACATTACTTGCTCTAACATTACTTTTCATACAGTGACGCGTCACACTGCATGGTTCAATGACCATTATTACAGAACATACCGGAACATGGGCTGGCCAAGACGTTAGTATGCCTGCTCTCCAGAGTTTGTGAGTCGCACTTACGTTTTGCTTGTCGGTGACATCCTCAAAGCCGAGCGCCTCGCCTTCCCTTTGCATTTCAGCAATCTCCTCCTCGGACTTGCCCTCGAGCATCTGATCTCTCTTCTTGTTCTCTCTGACGTAGATGAATCTGAGAATCTGATTCATGACCAGGTTTAGAATGAATCCGCACAACATAGCCACGATTCCGTTGTGGTATGCTGGCGCCTCGGTGCTTTTGAAGAACTGGGGGCCAGCGATTTGGCCAACACAGTAGCAGACGAAGACCCAACCGGACGCAACAGACCGCTTGGTGCTACCGGCTATGTTGGTAGAAAGGAGGCCAAGGATGACCATGAAGCCGACGGGGTAAGCGCCGAGAAGCCAAACTCCGACCAGACGGCCCCATTTATTGTCGAGGTGGAGCTGGTTGATCAGGCATGTACCAATGATCTAAGCAACTTATACGTTAGCAACTATTCCATTTCTCGTCCTTGAAATAGCGAACTTACGGGAGGAATCATGGCAACTGTGCCAATATGCAGCCTAGATTTAGAGATCTTGCTTGTCAAGAAGCCAGCGCCAAGTTGAGCAACAACTTGAACCGTTGAAAGCGGGAGGTTCATGAGGGTCGTCTGCAGTGAGTTGAAGCCGAAACCTTGGATGATCAAGGATCCAAACGCCAGTCCTCCCGAAGCAATGGCGTTGACGAACGAGATGAGGCCAAGTAGAATAACTGCTGGATCCTTGGCCGCCTCCACAACTTGGGCCATGACAAAATTCCGGCTACGACCCGTGCCTGTCTTGTTCTCGGCAACACGCTGCACAGCAATGACCTTCTCCCGCTCCGTCAACCACTTGACCTTGGCGGGGCTGTCAGGCACAAAGATTGTGAAGACCACGCCCCAGACCACGGTCATGGCACCGAGGATCAGGAAGATGTACTTCCACGGAGACAGTGATCCGGTGATATGACCGATTCCAAACGCAAGCAGGGTGCCGATAAAGCTGCCGACGCCGAGGAACGAGACCCACATCGCCGAGCGACCGGCTTGCTCTTGACGGGACCACCACATGCCGGTAACGGCGACGAATCCGGGGCTGATGGTAGCCTCGGTGGCACCCAGAAGGAAGCGCACACTTGCGAGACCGGCGAAGGAGCTGCATGCTGCAGTAGTCATAAGGATCATTCCCCAAAGAATGATGTTGGCACCTAGGAACTTTGCGACCGGGAAGCGCTGGAGAATAGCGACACCAGGATATTCCGCAACCAGGTATCCGAAGTAAAAGATGCTGCTCGCCCAGCTGTACTGTTGACCATGAAGCTTGTTGTCTGGAATGATTCCCCAAACAGAGCTGTACCCAAGTGAAGTCTTGTCGATGAACTGCAGAGCATATGTGATGCAGAGAAAAGGCAAAATCCTACGCCCGGGTAAGCGTGATTAACCCATTTGTTACACAAACTAAGTACCTTAAATCGATCTTGCGCAGTACAGCCTTCGACTCGGCCTCGGATAGTGGAGCAGAACTAAGAGCAGAGGCGGCGAGGTCGCCAGTCTCATCGGTGATGTGGTGCTTTGAGATCGGATCATCGTCTCCGGGAGAGGGGCCGGTAGCGGGGTTGATGTCGGAGGCGGCCCGCTTCTCTGGATCGGAGGCTATTTCGGTTGCAGCCATTTCGATGTATGTGACAGTGAAGCTTCTCCGTCAGAGGCTTCTTCGAAGGTTGGCTTCTTTCTCAGGCACGAACCCGAGAAAATTCTTTCTCTTTTTGAGATTTGGGAAGCCGTGAGTCTTTATCAGTCAACGTCTCTGTTATGAGCAAGGGGAGTGGAGACCGGATATCGGGGCACATCCGACGATCGGCAATTGGTCTTTTCCAATGGTCTTATCTCAGGTCATTTCCTACCCCGTAACATCCCCGCTAAAGAATCCCCGGCGGCGAACCGACTTGATGGGATTGGCAGAAGCCGTTCTTGTTACTCACTATCCTTTTGCTTATCGGTTTCGTGCTGAGCGTGTATGCAGAGGATTTTTGGTGTTAAGTAAGGAGAAACTGTCGAAACATGGAGCTTGATCGAACACAACTGCCAGCGCAGCTTTGTTACATCGTGTTACGAGTAGACATCAGCTTGACAGCTTTGCCTGCCGGTAGCCACGTGCCTCAAGGATCACGGCAACGAACCGTTGAAGTTTTTCTTTTCTCCGGGGAACTGATGGCAACCCCAGCGTAACCGGAGCGCTGGGTGGCTGGAAACTGTACCGAGTCAACGAAAGTGGAGATGCGCATATCGGGTAGATATCTCCCGCGGGGAACGAACCATTTTGGTATGATCTGTTGCCGCCTTAAGCTGGACTGTGGACAGAGACTGGCAGTTTGCTTGTTCGTTATTTTGCGTATTCCGATATCATCATCGCCCCCGATTCCAGTTCTTCTCCAAAGACTAATTTCTTGTACAAAAGACGGGCCACTCTCCAACACCAACACCGCCATGCCATCAGCGAACCCCTACACGAAGAGCATTTTGCCCGCAGACCGACCGTTGGGCGCAGTGGCAACTACGACGACCATAGCAAGACTTGCATCCGGGACATTGACCTCACCGAACGGAGAGGTCCCTTGAAACGGTAGGGTGATGTTTGCAGTGACGCTCCACTCACTACCCTCGAATGGCACAGGTAGCACAGGCACGCCGTCGACATGAACTTCCACCTTGGCATCTGAATCCCAGCAGCTTTCCAGCTTGACAGTGCCCTTGACCAAAATCTTCTGTTCATCGATTCTCAAAGCACTGGCGCTCAATATAGGGGCAGCATGAAAGCCACGAATCTTTCTCCCGCGTCGTAAAGGAATCAGGTCTGTCTGAAGCCCTGGAGTTCGAGGTGGGACAAATCTTACTTTGTCGTGAGCTTGCTCGAAGGCGTAGGCATAGCTTATGATTGACATGTCGTCGTAGGATTTATTCGCAAATGTGAGGCCGACAGGCATGCCAGTGTCGTTCATGGCTCCCATGGTGACGGTTACAGTAGGAACGCCAAGCTGCCGAATCGCGAAGTTACCAATTGATCTTGCGACGCCATTTCTCCACGTGGGAACAGCTGCTTCGTTGTCGACCTCAGCTCTCTCACGCCCGACATCGCCATTCGCTGGCCATACAACGGCATCTAGCCCCTTCTCGTCCATCCAGTCCTCCAAGTCCCGCTCACGTCGGTCTTCTAGACGTTGGAGCCATGCTGCAAGACCGGGAATGTCGATGGTTTTGCCTGTGCGATTGACTGCTTCAACAGCGCGTGCATTAGACTGAGTTCTGTTGCCGAAGCGGTTGCCGTATTGGTCGGGAATGGTTCCAGGAAGTTGTGGAAAGATGAGCGCCGGATCAACGTCAGCAAGTGTTGTAACACTGCTGGTGTCATTAACCATATGTAGAAAGTCATCCCAAGCATACGCATCCATATCGCCCGGGCTCGCGCTGCCGTTGAAGTACGATGGCAAGGGATATTCGCTATTGACCTCATTGACTGCTGGGGCTACCTCATGATTCGTAACAAGAGGAAACTCCACCTCTTCAACTTCAGCACCCAATGACTCAAAAGTGACGCGCGCGTCTTCCCACAGTGCCCGGATTGAATTTCGAAGAAAGATAGATTGCGCTGCAGGGTCATTTCCGCCGATGAACATTCGAGGGACACCGATCCTTTTGCCACGTAACGCACTCGCGTTCGCCAAAGTGGTGAACGAAGTAGGTCTGATATTTTCAACTTTGGGAAGGTCCACAAAGGGCTGCCCTCTCCAGAAGTCACCTTCGATATGTTCGTCGGTAACGGCTATTACGTCCAAGACAGCCATGAGATCCTTGACACTCGTCACTTGTGGAACGACGACATCTGCCGAACAGGTCAGGGGCCAGTTGCCCCTGATGGAAAGCATACCTCGTGATGGGGTGTATGCAACAAGGCCGTTATTGGAAGCTGGTGATCTTCCAGATGATACGGTCTCTTCAGCCAAGCCAAAGACGGCCATACTCGAAGCTGTTGAAACCCCACAGCCATTTGACGATCCAGAGCCCATTGCTGCTGCTAGGTAAGAGGAGTTGTACGGACTTTCAGCTCTTCCATAAAGACCTCGTTGCATACCACCATTAGCCATCGGAGGCATGTTCGTCTTTCCCAAAGGGATGCCTCCCGCGGAACGAATTGCTCCGACCGTGAAGGCGTCAACACCGGCTGTAAGATTCCTAAATGCTGGAGACCCAGCTGCGACTGGCAGTCCCTTCATCATGAAGCTGTCCTTTGCAGTGAAGGGAATTCCTTCTAGCAGAGAGCGAATGCCGCCGTTGTTGCCACTTTGGTAGTCATCAGAAGCCTCGGCATCTTCGAAGGCGTTTGTGTGTAGGACTGGAATCGGATTAAGACGAGGGGTTCGGCGGTCGTACTGTGCAACCCGGTGAAGGTGTTTTGCGAGCAACTGAACAGAGTTTATCCGCCCATCTATCAAAGTATTCTGCAAGTTTTCTATCGATTCGACGACAATGCTTAGGCACTGGAGATCATGAGATCGATTCCAAAACATCAATTGAGTATTACTTACGATAGCTTCTGCAACACATATGGAAGCATGCACCGCTAAGATAAAGAGGGAAACAATGCGATTCTTCATTATATACAACTCTTGATTGTAGGATGAGCTGCTGTCCGGGATGTCAGATTTGACAGGGAAATGTAGAGGAAGCTCTGATGATGATTATGCTGAGTTTGAATCATTTTTGAACTCCAGGCTTTCAATCACCGTACGAATCTCGCGATTATCTCGCGCATATCGCGCTTGTAATCACGAGTGCGGGTATCTCCCCGTGGTTCGATTCTGCCGTATGCCTAGGAGAGTTGTAACAATGCAGAGCGTTCCGATCCAAGAAAAGCCCCCAGACGTTTCTTGGCTGCATGCCAACTCATCAAAAAGAGAATAATTTAAAACGGACGGTGCAAGTATGTCGTCTTAAATCCGTGAAGTCGGTCGTCAGCCAGTCGCAGCGGATGTGAGGGGCAGGTCTTGTAGTTGGCTGAAGATCCTTATCAGCAAAGGATCATGCAGCCCTCCGTGCAGCAAGGATTGCCCAAGACGGCAGGCCCATATGTATTCTCTTCGGCACGAATACTGCCGCTAAGTCAAGATACTGATACCCAAATACCATCACTTCAACCCCCGCTGATAAGATTGTATTCTGAAGAGATCGTTGACTTCAACTTGCGCGGTTTCCTCCGCCATTGTGTTTGAGGAAGCATTCGACCGCCGTGAATTTCGCAGAGTAGTACAACAACTACGTCATACTTCAGTTTTCAAGTCTCTTTGACAAGTTGAACTATACAAGATCAACTAATTTTATTTTCGCATGTTCTCTCTTTCTTCCCTTCTAACTTTTCTTCTGCAGTTTGCCGCCTAGAGGTGCACTTTATTAACTACTATATAACTCTCATAGGGAAATATTTAAAAGCTAGAATAGCTTATAGAGAAACCTTTATAGCTACTTATTGTTACGACCTGTTTGTTACGACCCGTAAACAAGGATAACAGCTGGACGACCCACCTGGGCGTCGGGCGGCTAGGACAGGACATTTGTACTGCGGGATCACGGGAACAACAGGGACTCACTCGGAAACGGAAGAACTATGGTACAAGTCACGTGATGATAAGATAAGACTGAGCAGGCAGTGTGGATCACTGAGCGCTCAGTCGAAGTTACTGAGCGCTCACCAACAGTTAATGAGCGCTCACTGGTACCTGGTAAGGGATCAGTGATAAAGTAAAGGGTACTGTTCAGAACTTGTATATAGTATGACCCTGAGCCTGGCTCATAGTCAAACCTCTATAGCTCTTCAGCAATCAACTTAGTATTCATCCTCACGGATACTCTCAGCTTACCTTCACTGCGAATCACTTGTTGAGTCTAAGACTGATCACCTTAGCCTCTAAAGACCTAATCTACTACAGCCTACGAACTACAACCTACGACCACGACCTAGTATACTGTTAGAACGTATTAATCCCTAGCTTCTGTTAGCAGACCCTACTGTCGGATAGCTGACTGTAACACTTTGATTGCTCCTGTTCAGTAAGTTGACCATTAATTCCTACTAACAGTAACAAACGACAATGTCTTCCCGCGCCTCTGTCAAGTCGCCTACCCTGGGATCCTCGTCTACTTCAGGAGGACGAGCCACCTAAAACCTAGCCCAGGAACTAGGAGACCAGAAGATGAAGGACGACTCAGACAGCAAGGACGACACTGAAGAACTTAAGCGCCAGCTCAACAAGACCAACAACGACTTCAAGGCAATGCGCGAAATATTCAACCAGAACGCTGCGGCCCTTAGCGAACTCCAGGAACAAGCCCGCAAGAATCAGGATCTGGAGAAAGAAGTCGCCACCCTCCAAGCTGCCGCCAACATCATATCCGCCCTAGTCGAAGGATGAGAACGCCTCAAGCTCAACACGCCTTCCACTTTCGATGGGACCCCAGGACAACTCAAAGGACACCTGGTATAAGTTCGAACCTACCAGGCCTTCCATATAAACACCTTCCAGAACGACACTAAACGCGTTGTACACGCAGCCACCTTCCTTCGGGGACGAGCCCTTGCCTGGTTCGAACCCCTTCAATAGGAATAGCTTAACAACCCTGTCGAAAAATACAGCTAAGAAGTCAAGGATATCTTCTTCAGCTTCACAGGCTACGTCAAGGCCTTAGAATCTCTCTTCTTTAACCCCAATAAACGAAGACAGGCTGAATGAGACCTATCCCACCTACGACAAACCAAGTCAGCTATACTCTACGCCGCAGAGTTTAGGCGATTAGCTGTAAGACTCCACATGACCGACGAAAGCAAAGTTTTTGCCTTTTATCAAGGACTTAAGGACGAGGTAAAAGACGAAATAGCCAAACTGGAGACACCTCCTAGCTTCCTCGCCTACGTCGAACATGCTATTAAGGTTGACAACCGCCTCTATAAACGACAAAAGGAACGAGGAGAGAAACGATAAAACCTAAATTCAGGACGTAAGTACTAATAGCAGCCTCAACAGAAGTTCAACAGCCAGCAGAACGACAACAGACCCTGCAACAACTGGAATAACACCCGCCAGAGCACCGCCTATAGACAACACAGCGGACCTATAGATCTCAGCATAATGACCAAACCTAACAACAAAAAACCTTGGAACCCTAAGTGCTACAACTGCAATAAGCAAGGCCATATCGCTAAAGACTGCGAACAGCCTAAGAAGCTTCCCTGGAAACCAGTGGCAGAACAACCTCAACAAGTCAACACAATTACAAAAGCCCTATATACATCCTAATTATAGACCAGATGCTATGACGACAACTGCTGAATTCACCTTGAAGACAAAGAAATATCAGGACACTACCTAAGGGACAGCAACCCTAGACGGTCTGGTTATGATATGACCATCCTAGACACTCGCCCTAGGACCCTGGCAATGATGCATTCCAGCAACAGCAAAGTGGCTAGAAAACCAGTTGAACAACTCAACGAGATGCTACGAATTCAGCGATTAGAACCAATCATCCCCCGCATGACTAGCCAGCAGCTCTATTACGAAGAACAACAAATCCAGAAGGAAATAGAGCTAATCCAGTAAGAAGACGACAGATAAGTAAGACTATACTAACAACAAGAATCAGAAGAAGAACCAGAACACCAACATAATCCTTTGATGGAACAACAACTCCTCAGTATGACTAACAACTGGACTTTCAGAGAAGGAGAAAGCTCTTCCTATGACTCAGATAAACCTCGCGACGTTGCCTGACAACGCGCTCAGACAGAGATAACCTATAGGTTCACCCCTAGTATGGACGACTCCAGCTCTAAAGAGGAACCTGACGACCAGGAAGGAAGAATCAAGCGACTTCTGAGATACCAAAAAATCAATATGCTTTAAGACAAGCAACAACGCCACTTCTATAGCACCTCAGCAGCCTAACGAGACCGAGGCTACACCCCTCAGCTACACACGAAAGATCATCCCGCACTGAGAAGCAACCACCAGCTTCACCAAACCCTCTTCTGGCCCTAGTGCTTCCACGACAAATGCAAGGAACACATAGGAGAAAAACACGATTACCAGTTCTACCCCAGAAGACATAACGACGAACCTATCCATAAGATCTACTCAACCTCCGTTATGATCGGATGGACTATAGTACTATTTGAAGATAACCTCGCAGTCTTCAGACCTAGTCCTCAGTTCCCTATAAGATGTCAACATAACGACAGCATAAAATAGGACGAATGCTAATAAGACGAATGCTAAGTTCACTACCAAGAAAAGGCATAAACCTAGAGAATCGCAAAAAACGGACCTAGACCCCTACAGGTCAGAATCTGCGAAAACAGCCTCGCAAAAGCACGACGAGAAGGAAAGCAAATCACCTACCTAGGACAACCAGAGCAGTCAAAAAACTAGACTCACCTACCGACGACAGATCACAACAGGCAACAAACATAAGATCTATTCATCAAATGTCACAAGGACATAAGGGTAATATCGAACTCAAAGTTACCATCAACCAGCAGACAACACTCGCGCTGATCGACAGCGGAGCCGAAGCAAACTTTATTGCCCCCCAAGCCATCAATAGGCTAGAAATACAATAGGGAGGAAAAGAACGACCATATCAGTTACACACAGCAGAAGGAGAAGAATTCAAGTACGAAGGAGGTACTATCTATAATGAGACTGCGCCCCTCAAGATGAGCTACCTGAATCGAAAAGAAAGAATCCAATTCGATATTGCCGATCTAGGAACATACGACATAGTGCTAGGACTACCCTGGCTACGAACAAGCAACCCACGGATAGATTGGAGCAAAGGCTAACTCTATTGGGACCACGATAATTCAGTCCCTGAGCAGCCCTGTAAGAGTCAGGCCTCAAACGAATCAATACGACAAGGAACAGCAAAACGATACCTCTGTTACCTCAAGGCAAAAGAAGCCATATCATAACCACCAACAACGATAGATCTCAAACAGAAGAACGATCCACTTCTG